GGGTTAACAAGCTCAGCTTTCGTATTTCTCCAACGTGCAAGATCACAGATTACCTTTCACTCTAATTTCCCAAAATTGCTCCATCTCCGACAAGAAAATTTGTCCAAAAATCTTCATAATCAAAGGGTTAAAAGATCCAACCTACGAGAAACTTACACAAAACGTCTCTCGCTATCACCGCCAATTCCCTAAAATTCGATTGGCACTCCGTGTTACACCGTTCAACAGTCGACAATTCGAACGGTCCATTTCGATATTCCTTTTGAGCTCAGCTCGCTCCTCTGAGTTTGGTGAATCCTTGGTGCGGTGCACGCGTGTCATCGGATCGAATCCGCCCCGGGGAGAGACTGGCTGGAGTCGTTAAAACGTGCACGCGCGGGCAAAGCCTTAGTCCAAATATTAGTCGAAATGGTATTGCTCCGGCTCTAAGTAGCATTTACATTCTCGTTATCCAAACAACGTTTCCAGCTGGGGCCCGTGTTTCGACGTTACCGGACGAGATAGGAATCCACGCTTGTGCACGCGCCGCGCGGTCTAGCAATCAAGATTCGCTGTCTCGATAACGTGGACAGCACAAGGGAATAGCTGTCGCTCTCTCTCCGCGTGTTTTTCCTTTTTTCCTCTCTGTGCACGCGCGTTTTACTGATATATGTGTGTATATATATGGAAAAAAAGGAAAAAAAAGACGGAAAGGGAGGGAAAAAAAAGAACGTCGAATGGCATTGTCAATCATGGCGCGCGTCACTCGGAATGCAAACCGACTGCTGCGCGCTCGAATAAAAACGTAAATACGGCCCAGGGTGTTCCGAGATGTTATTGCTAGTGGCATTGCTGGACATCGATGCGCGACGTTTGCTGATTTTATGGATAAACTCGATAGAGAAGTGTCCTCTTTGCGTCAGATAATTAAATTTCGATATTCGAGTCTGTGAAAATGCGGAGGGAGAAATGTGTACAGTAGGGGAGAGTAGTTTATAGGAATGTCGAATGTGGTGTGATGTTTTTTGGGAATCTGGAATTGATACTGTTCGATCTCGGTTTGTTTCGTTTTGGTGGGTTAGAGTGATTAAGGCATTGGTCGAAGCTTTCTTAATACTTGAAAATAATATTTGTAGTTTTTTTGCTAACTTATTAACAGTTGGAGTGCAAAAATTCTTTGTTTTAATATTTATTTAATATTGCGAATTTCTTTAGTATTGTCTATTTTAATATTTCTTTAATATTGCAAATTTCTTTAGTATTATTGTTTATTTTAATATTTTAATACTTCTGAAATGAAAGTATGAAGAGTTTGTATAAAAAAAATGTCTCCTCTCTTTTAATCAGCAATCGTAGACACAGGAAAGATTTTCCTTTTCTTACCACTTTATGAACCACAACAGGGTTATCTTGAAATCACCGATGAACAGTTCATTAACAATATTTTTATCAATACTATTTCACTAACACTGTATACAATTTACCCACACATACTATCACCACCACTGGCTCTTCATTAAAACACCAATTCCCTCGATACAAGTACGGTGACTCTTACTAATACTCGGACACCCTTTAGAACAGTATAACTTTTTTAAAATTGGACTTAACGACTTGAGTTTTTTTGAGAAGTTAGAAGGATTAGTATACTAGACGACGCGTATAAAATTTTTTGAAAAAATTGCAATTTGTGGAAATCGCGAAGAAAATTGTAAAGGTCACATTCGACAACTTTTTTTATCCGAGCCCGTAATGAGAATTAAAAGAATACGTTTTGTAGATTTATGCCAATTATACGCATGCTGAAAATTTGATCGAAATCGGTTGATGTTACTGCGAGCTACAAATCGTTAAAGACTGTGAAAATCGTACTACAGTAAATTCTCTACAAGAGTCAGGAAGTTTGGATTCTACAAGTGACAGTATAGCAGTCGGCCTACAATGTAGGGTCGATTCCACAAGTGTCGGTAAAATGTAGGGTCGATAGTAGTAGAAAAGCTGCTAAACAATTAGAATTAAATGTAACGATAGAAATTATTGCAATAATGCGTAATGCAATTGAAAAATTGAAAGAATCAAAAGAAAAAACGCGAATTCATATCTTTCTCGATTCTAGAATATAAGAAAATTTGAATAAAATACGCGACGAGAATTGGGGAGAAGCATAAGTTAAACGCGTAAAAATATTCAATAATAAACGAACTAGGGATGAAGCTATTATTTCAATACGCGATGCACTGACTCTAGTATTTACTAAAATTCAAAAATTCTCGTATAAATTCCGAAAATAGATTATTAATTACGGTAAACTACTGAGACGGTTTAATTAAGGGTGGGCATGGTGCTGCTTTAGTTTGAAATGATTTATAAACACATAATTAACAGAGGAAAAACCGTGAAACGGCAAAACGTCAACATTCTAATTGTTATAACATGTAAACAGAACTTTAAATTTAGTGTAAACAGAAAAAATATATAATACAATTTATTTCACGGTATTGCAACAAATAAACGTTGAATCAATATTTAATTCGTATAAAAACAATTATTTAACGTAATAATTTTACCTTCACTATGGCTATTTTTAATCTACGACCACAGGTCAACCTGATTTCTAATCCTTACGAACTTTAAATTCAGTCTAAACTGAGAAAATATATAATACAATTTATTTCACGGTATTGCAACAAACAAACGTTGAATAGATTCTTAATTCGTATAGAAACATTTATTTAAAATAATAATTTCACCTTCACTATGGCTATTTTAAATTTACGACCAAGGGTCAACCTGATTTTTAATCCTCCGAACTTGATTTCACAACGAGAAAGTAATAAGATCGTTGAAACGTACTTATTTGTCAAAGAAACTTGCAAAAATGTATAAATAATAATATGTAATGTTTTAACAAATTTTTGGAAGTATAAATTAATAATAAAATTGTGAAAATTAATAAATTATACGTTATTATAACATTAATAGAATTATGACTAAACCGAAGTTCGAAGTCGAGTATTTAAAGTCTGATATTACGTGCCTAGCGAGTGCCGGTAATTGTTAAAATTTGTTTAATAATTAGTAATAGAAATTCTAATTGATTCTAATGTATACAAGTGTTACAAGAAGGCTGAGTGTGTACAGGGTGGACATAGACTAGCTAGTAGCCCCCGACCACTCTATTCACATCTCAGAACCTTCAGGTCAAAATACGCCGCGAAGTGTCTAGGGCCCAGTATAAAGGGTAAATGATTTCGCGGGACATCGGCGGGTCCTTATATAACTGCGGTACCCCTACCCCAAAGTCATTAGCGAAGTCGTTGGTAAAATTGGGCGCGAAACCTTGTTTTCGCGGGAAACGGACTACAAACAATTAGAATGTTGACGTTTTGCCGTTTCACGGTTTTTCCTCTGTTAATTATGTGTTTATAAATCATTTCAAACTAAAGCAGCACCATGCCCACCCTTAATTAAACCGTCTCAGTAGTTTACCGTAATTAATAATCTATTTTCGGAATTTATACGAGAATTTTTGAATTTTAGTAAATACTAGAGTCAGTGCATCGCGTATTGAAATAATAGCTTCATCCCTAGTTCGTTTATTATTGAATATTTTTACGCGTTTAACTTATGCTTCTCCCCAATTCTCGTCGCGTATTTTATTCAAATTTTCTTATATTCTAGAATCGAAAAAGATATGAATTCGCGTTTTTTCTTTTGATTCTTTCAATTTTTCAATTGCATTACGCATTATTGCAATAATTTCTATCGTTACATTTGTATGTATTCAACGTTTGTTTGGCATAGTATCGTGAAATGAATTATATTCCACATTTTCTCTATTCACACTGAATTTAAAGATTATAACGATTAAAAATCAAGTTGACCTTTGGTCATTTATCAAAAATAATCATAATAAAGCTGAAATTATTGTGTTAAATAATTTCTTTAGTACGAATTAGGAATTTATTCAACGTTTGCTTGTTACAATACCATGAAATAAATTATATTATACCTTTTCTATATTTACGCTAAATTTATCGTTCTATTTACATGTTATAACAATTATAACTACACGTTATGCTGTGTCCGTTTGTTTTTTCTGTGCAGTTCAACCTAATTTACTTAAATTTACGTTGCGAGACAGTATAATATTTACAATTTTGGCTGAATTTTTGAAATTCAGAAAAACACAGGTAAACTTCCATTGCATTTAAACGATATTCTCCACCAAACTGGACAAAGTACATATTTCACATCGTTCGGCCTATAATTGTAATAAATCTGAAGATTCCTACATACATCTTTCGATGCCTGTCGCTTGTTTCTCCATCTACCGATTTCGATGAAATTTTCAGCAAGCGTATAATTGACATAAATCTACAAAACGTATGTTTTAAATTTTCGTTACAAGCTCAGGTAAAAAAGGTGTAAACAGTGACCTTTACAATTTTTCTCGTGATTCTCACAAATTGCAATATTTTTAAAAATTTTTATACACGTCATCTAGTATACTAATCCTTCTAACTTCACAAAAAACTCAAGTCGTTTGATACAATTTAAAAAAAAATTATACAGTTCTAAAGAGTGTCCGAATATTAGTAAGAGTCACTGTATGTACGAATAACGAGACAAATAATAAACGAAACACTTCCACCGCTACCTAATTAACAAACACAAATTACCCACACGAATAACCAAAAATTTCCCAAATAAAATATCGCACCGACTCTAACGTACCATTCACACTCTTCGTCGACCGAGCACAACTTCGCCACCAAAATAGTTTTTCAACCGTTTGTTGATAATCCGAAGGTAACCCACGAACATACACACACACTGCTCGAGCGATTCTTGAATCGTCGACCCCAAGCCAGTCAATCCAAACACGCGAAGTCGTTCGCGAGGTTCGCGAAGCCTCGTGAAACCTAGGAAATGTTCGTGTTCCCTAAGAGGGTAGTGGGGATATGAAACGGAAACGTGAGTATGTGTCGATAACTACGTGGGTTATTCTGTGTCCTTAGCGGCGCAAGGAACGAGGTAGAATCGCGGTCGAGAGCGTCCACGTGGTTGAAACGGCGAGCCTCGGGAGCAACGCCGGCGGCGTCGGCGGTGTCGGCAGCGACGTGGCAGGCAGCGAGGCAGGAACAGGCGGAGGAGGCGGCGGGGGTGGCATACCACCTGGGCTACCCTTCCAGGTGGGATATCGGGAAGCCGGCCAAGAGTACACGCTCTACCTTCTCGCAGCCCGCGAACAGGACCGCACCGAGTGGATTCGTGCCATCCGAGCTGGTGAGTTCTTTTTCTTCGTTCTTTCAATTATCCCATTTTTTCCTTCTGTGTATGTATGTGTCTGTGTTTTCTTTTTGTCGCGTTTCTCCTTGATGTGATTTTCTTTGCGTGTAACACGTGTATTAAAGGTATTGTCATTGTCCAGTCGCGCAGCCCACCGGCCAGTAACACATCATAAATTAATAAACAATCCTTTCCAGCCGTCTTCCTAGCCCCTAACAAATTCCTTCCCTACCATAAAGCAGTTCAAGACGTATCCTGGTCATGTTTCCTATCCCTTTCCCCTTTCCGGGTTTTCCCCAAATTATTTCAGCTTTTACACACCACCTTCATCCTCACGTTCTCCTTCCACTAGTTTCCTAACATCTAATCGCACCTCCGCATTTTTCGAGTCCTTCTTTTCCACCACCTTCAACGTCCAACCAATCGCAACATACACCGACCTAATATATACCCACGCACCACCACAAATAAACGAGTTCAAAAATATCCTTACGGAGAGAAACCTCTTATTCATCATCACCACACCAACTACTAGAATTTCGCCCTTCCGGGACTAACACATCGGGAGCGCAACGATACTAACCTGAAACCAGTCTCGTTCACGAGTCGTACAGCCATTAATATTATTATTATTTGGACGCATTCCGAATTTCACAAGGAAAATTACAGAAATCGTTTACATTTGTTGTTCTTCTGTCCTTTAACTATCTCCTTCTTTTCCTCCTGTGTGCCTGTGTATCTGTGTTGTTTCTTTTTCGTCGCGTTTCTCCTTGATGTGATTCTCTTTGCTTCGGTATTACACATCCCTGTTTCACGTGTATTTAAATTTAAATACACGTCTATGAAACGTAGTATCATTATTAACACTAGGTTTACGGGACGCGTTATTTCAAGGAAAATTACAGAAATTGTTTACATTCCCTATTCTTCTGTCCTTCAGTTATCTTCTTCTTTTCCTCCTGTGTATCTGTGTTGTTGTTGTCCCTTTGCTTCGGTATTAGAGATCCCTGTTTCACGTGTATTAAACGTATCCGTACCTGAATCTGCGTACCTTGGTACACGAATATGTTAGAAAAGCCCAAAAAGCGAAGGCTTGAGTGGGCCATGTGCAGTCTTCTGCTGCGTTTCCCCCTCCTAGGGATAGTTCTGCCTCAAGGCTAAGAAAGGCCATATTGTCAAGGGGGTCCTCTTGACTAGGTTTTTCAGGAAAGATAGAATTGTATCAGCACTCGTACAGTATAGTTCGAAATACAAGCATTCACTCTGTTTAACCGCCCACGTTTATATCTTATTCAACCGCTCACCACCGTTATCCTGACTGATTTTCTCTTACAAATACCTATTTTGCGTGTACTTCGATTCGTGCGATTTTTAACCCCTTGGCCTACCCGCTATCTCCCGAGCAAGAAGGTCGGTCGCGCGTCGAGCCATTGAGCTGTTTATCCGTGTGCTCGAACTTGCGCAAAGGATTACACGTAACTGAAGTAAGAGAATATCGAGAACAGTTGAACCACGAGTCTGACTCGTTTTCTTTTCCTTTGTCCCGAATGACGTACCAGGAGCCAGGCTCGTCTGATCGAGAACAGTTGAACCACGAGTCTGACTCGTTTTCTTTTCCTTTGTCCCGAATGACGTACCAAGAGCCAGGCTCGTCTGGTTTACGTTTGGTCCGAACGAAGTACCACGAGTCAGGCTCGTGCTTATTGTTTATGGCTCAAATTCCTTACCACGAGTCCCACTCGTGGTTGTAGGCCAAGGGGTTTACGCGGATGTCGAAGAAATCTGAAGGACTGCGAAATCAAGAGTATCTTAATGTATTTACTATTTAGTATAATATAGAACATACGCAAAATACACCTAATTTCTATTGGATATTCGTGAATATTTCTGAACGATTTTTCTTTCTTTACGGAATTTTTTTTCTTCAATTTGTTTCGTTGCCCTTATAAGACGCGGTCACTCGCGTCTGTTTTCATTGGTCTCGCGGCTGAAGTGTTTGAAGAGAATTGCGTTTATCCTCCGAGTAAGAGTTTTGTAAGTATGTGTTAGGTCGTCCCGTGAGTTTGTGTCGAATTTTATGATTTAAATCAGTAGGTGTTTCCAAGGAACCTTTGAATTTCATTTTAATTTGCTTTAATAAGACTTTGAATTAATAAGAATTGAATTTCATTCAATTATTGTTCACTTTCGGCACGAACTTACAGAATTACCTAATAATTAGCTGATTATACTCAAGATTCGACTGTGCTGCTGCGTGGAGACTTTCTTCTTTATTGCGTTAACGTTCTTTTTATTTTAACTGTATAATCACATTTTGTGTAATTTCTTTTTTACAATAGATTTCAGATAAATTGTGTTTCACTTGTCACGTGCACACTCTCGTTTATAAGACCCGAGACACTTTGTACATTTAGATTAACGATAAATTCATGTTACACTTGTATTACAAAGGAAAGTTGCAATAAGCATTATGCTAACTTATAGATGGAAGAGTATGCGCAGGGTGTCTCACTGATAACAAACCCCCAAATTATTTTTCCAATTATTCTATGAAAAATTCGAAAAAACGATCGAGAAGATTACGCGGCTTCAAGACGTGCATCCCGGAGTTCAACGACCTATAGCATTCATCGGTGAAACAGCCGTCGATGTTCAAGTTAACATTCAGAATACTTTTGAGGTGGGTGAGGAACGCCGTTGCACTGTTTTCACCTGAATTAATTAAGATGTAAGTGCGATGGTCGGCGTACAATTCGCCCGGAAAATACAATCGTTTCATTCGTTAATTGTCCCTGCGACAGCGGTTCGGTGGGCAGAAGAAAAACTGAATCGGGGTGTAGGTGTGCTGGGTTTTCATATTGGTAGGACAGAAAGACAGGAGTAGAGATAGATAAGGATAGAGAAAATTTCTCGAAGGCAAGTCTTAACCCGGGGAGAGACTGTCGGATTAGTGGGTTAAATAAATGGTGTCCACTGTGAATTCTCTTAAACGTATTTTATTTTCTTCGGCGCGGAAGGACGTGTTAACGCTTAGAAAATCGCAGTCGAAGTCAAAGTGAAAAACCCGTCTAGTGTGACGGCCGTTTTTTAAGCCTTTTTTGCCAATTTATTACGGAAGTACGGTAACAGTTATTAACATGAGCTTTATTCCTATGTATTTACCTATCCTTGAAGAATCATTGCAAATTTCTTTTGTTGAAAAATAATTAACCCTTTGCAATCGAGTGGCGACTGAGAGGCGACATTAGATAATCGTCGCTTGGTAAATAATTGATCAAGCCAGAGATCAGATCTATGGGATCTCTATAAATTTGATTGCCATAGTGAAATAGAGAATACGTTGAATATTTAAATAAAATAGTATAGTTTGTTTCTGCGTTAATTTTAGAAAATTTCAAAGATCCGATTTGCAAACTTTCCTATAGAAAAGGGTTAAATATGGCTGCTGTGGAACACGTCAATAGGTAAGGGTAAGAATAACTATGTTTTATCCAATTCCGGACGAGCCCCCAAAATAAGACTCTCTATTTCGCCTGAGGGTTTTCCGCACCATCCTCGAATTGGAGTTTTTCAACACCAATTTTGTCTGTAGTGGAGTCCCTCCCAAAAGAGGACTCGACACCACATTCTTCTCCAACGCTGTGACTCCCGGTGGTGTGGGAGACTCAACCATACCGTGATTCCAGAGAGTTTTATTTTGGGGGCTCGTCCGGGATTGGATGAAACATAGTTATTCTTATATGTTGTTAATAAATATCTATTTATATTTCTGATACCGCATAATTTTGGGGGCTCGTCCGGGATTTTTCCCGTTGGGCCTGGCTATCGTCGCTCGTCGCCCACTTTCTCTCTCTTCCCAAATTACGATACTACATTATAAACAAGCCAACCCTGTATACATAACGTACATTTAATTCTCCAAACGACATTCAGAATTGAACAGAAAAATCCGCGAATTAAACCGCGTTGATGTTTCACGTTAAAAACGGACACAAACATTTCTCCAAGTAATTAAAATCTCTTTACCGACTGGCACCCGTTGGAAATTCGTCGATTGTTCCTGTTGTGAACGAGGAATGTATATACCTCGAGGAATACTTATCACGGCGTGGCAGTCACTTTTCACCGCAGCTTGTTCTCTCCCGCGATAAAGTTTTCGGTAAACGGAAACGCCGCCGTCGCTCGATATTTCAGACTGAAGTTGGCGGGCGTTCGCGCTTCTGCCAGGCTTACCAATTATCGAGCTCATTACCGTCGGTGACACAGAAATTCTCCGATATATACTTTATTCGCCTACCGTTACTATCCGCCAACTCTGTTTTCTTCGCACTCTTTTCCCAGCCACCGAGGTACTTCAATTATCACCGGTGTATCTTAATCGGCCTGGCCACTGCAATTAGCCGTGCTCGTTACACCGTCTTCCTCTACACGTGTCACGGATTCGGCTGGATATACGTACCGGGTGTTTCAAAAGTGTGGAGACAGGAATCGTGCAGGCTGAGTCGATTCGTTCAAAATATTTCGCTAGATTTATCGCAGGAGGTGATTTAACGTAGTTCACTTTACTCGGGATGTTTCTGAGCGGTTTATTTCGAAAATAGGTTTATTCCAAAAGCTGCTCGTTCCTGTTTTACATATACGGTGACTCCCGCCAATATTCGGGCAATATTTAGAGTAATATAACTTTTTTAAAATTGGACCTAACGGCTTGAGCTTTTTTGAGAGGGAAGTATTAGTGCAGAAATTTGGAAAAATTGCAGTTTGTGGGAATCTCGAGGAAAATTGCAAGGGTCGCTGTTTGCAATTTTTTTTTATCTAAGCAGTTATAGGCCGAAGAGGCCATGCCTTAACCCCTTAATGTACAACAACGTGTCAGACTCGTGGCAAAAATTAAGGCTGAGATGTGAGAAAAATAGTTATATTACTAAGAAAAATTCATTGTAAACCTGATTTTCGTTTGAATTCGTACGACTGAAGATTACTAAACGTAATTAATC